GACCTCCATCCACAACTCACCTTGTAATAATCTTGATAAAATTACTCGACAGTATGTTAGGAAAAAGGACACTAGCGCAACTAATGTGACATTTCATTATGGCAACGTTATGGCTTGACAAAGCTCCTGGAGAGCGAAAAGTTGCCACAATAAATTGTCGCATTAGTTGCACTTGTGTCCTTTTACCAAACAACTCACCTTCCCTGTTATCCAAAGATGAGGAGAGGAAGCAAGTTCCTCTACTGCACACACATCCACTTCACGATACTCCGAGGTGACTAGTATCTGAAACCTGAGTGTTGGAGAATAGTTGAGCCAGTAAAGAGGCTATCCCTCTCCCCTTCGACGTACAACTAGCCAAGTTGGTAAAATTGAGGTTGGTTGCTTAACTCAGCTTAATGCCTATCCACTACTCAAAGGGTCATTCAGGCTGCATGTCATCTATTGACTACCAGTAATTATTTTATTCCCCGTTAGCACTATACCCTTATGGATCATGCAATACTTGTGCCTTGTTGATCAGACCCTGATCCACAGCGAGGACGCGGGGGCGTTGATCCCCGTAATACCCTCCAGGTATACTCCAGGTATTAGTGAAGAATACTATAATCTCAAAACACAGGGATTAAAGTATGCTTATAGTGTATATACACTGAGAAATATACATATTTGTGTATATATACTTCCTGGTCCTTTTACATGACGTATTATCTGTAATATTGCCAATATAAACGTAAGGTTCATTAAAGTGATTATAACCCAGGTTAATGTAATTATTTATTTGGATGTTTCTGTACAAACTTAATGAGTCATCATCTTACTAATGTACACATGTACTATGTACACTGCTAATGTGCACATTTATTGTGTGCACACCTCACTAATGTACACATGCACCGTGTACACACCTCACTAATGTACACATGCACCGTGTACACACTATTAATGTACACATGCACCGTGTACACACCATTAATGTACACATGCACCGTGTACACACTATTAATGTACACATGCACCGTGTACACACTATTAATATACACATGCACCGTGTACACACCTCACTAATGTACACATGCACCGTGTACACACCTCACTAATGTACACATGCACCGTGTACACTATTAATGTACACATGCACCGTGTACACTTAATGTACACATGCACCGTGTACACTATTAACGTACACATGCACCGTGTACACACCTCACTAATGTACACATGCACCGTGTACACACTATTAATGTACACATGCACCGTGTACACACTATTAATGTACACATGCACCGTGTACACTATTAATGTACACATGCACCGTGTACACACTACAATAATACTTATTATCACAACAGTGTAATGATATTACGTAATTAACACAGGATAATATAGTTAATATATGTAATATATTTATTAACATAGTTAATTACTTTCCATAAAGGGCTAAACCCCTATGGGTAAGTCAACTTTAATAGTGAAATAACATTTTTGTTGCAATGGTTTAGTGGATTATATAGAAACACCATTATTATTATTATTAGGATTATTAGGATTAGGATTATTATTGTTACGATTATTCTTACTAATATTAATTATTGTCATTATCATGATTTAATTTTATTATGCGCAGGTAAAAAGCGCTAAACTCGTGTGGGAAGTGATGAGATTTGATCCGAGGAAAGGGAGGGTAGCTCTTGTTAGTGGAATCAAGAGCCCTTTACCAACATCAGAGCAAACCCCCCTCTTGAAGAGCCCTGTGTGTGTCTCTAATCACCTAATTGTGGTTGCAGGTGTCGAGTAATAGCTCCTGGCCCAGTGTGTGTGTGTGTGTGTGTGTGTGTGTGTGTGTGTGTGTGTGTGTTTACATGTGCGCTCATAAACAACAATCACAGGGTCTGGTGTTTTCACCCAGTGTTATGTGGGTCAGCTCTGGAGTTACTGTCACTAAGACTGACTGATGCTTCCACCACAGGCTGGTTAATCCTCCTTCCTGGAACAAGCAGACGGAAGCAGTACGTCTGTCTCCTGCTCACTAGACGGAGGATCGAGTCTTTACATTTTTAAGTATACAAAATAGCAATAATAATGAAAAAATAATCATAATAATAATAATAGTAATAATAATAATAAGTCTGACGAGAGGTGCTAAGGTTATAAATAATAGTGAAACAACAGCCATCAAGAAATAAAAGCAAATATCTTTATTTTTTAATAGATAAATAATGGTTTGGTGAACTTGTTGTAGACGTAAATATACCGCCATGACTCAGAGTATATACCGAGAGGCCAGCATCACGTAGGTACACTGAGAGGCCAGCATCACGTAGGTACACTGAGAGGCCAGCATCATGTAGGTACACTGAGAGGCCAGCATCACGTAGGTACACCGAGAGGCCAGCATCACGTAGGTACACCGAGAGGCCAGCATCACGTAGGTACACCGAGAGGCCAGCATCACGTAGGTACACCGAGAGGCCAGCATCACGTAGGTACACCGAGAGGCCAGCATCATGTAGGTACACTGAGAGGCCAGCATCACGTAGGTACACCGAGAGGCCAGCATCATGTAGGTACACTGAGAGGCCAGCATCACGTAGGTACACCGAGAGGCCAGCATCACGTAGGTACACTGAGATGCCAGCATCACGTAGGTACACTGAGAGGCCAGCATCACGTAGGTACACCGAGAGGCCAGCATCACGTAGGTACACCGAGAGGCCAGCATCATGTAGGTACACTGAGAGGCCAGCATCACGTAGGTACACTGAGATGCCAGCATCACGTAGGTACACTGAGATGCCAGCATCACGTAGGTACACAGAGGCCAGCATCACGTAGGTACACTGAGATGCCAGCATCACGTAGGTACACTGAGATGCCAGCATCACGTAGGTACACCGAGAGGCCAGCATCACGTAGGTACACTGAGAGGCCAGCATCACGTAGGTACACCGAGAGGCCAGCATCACGTAGGTACACTGAGATGCCAGCATCACGTAGGTACACAGAGGCCAGCATCACGTAGGTACACTGAGAGGCCAGCATCATGTAGGTACACAGAGGCCAGCATCACGTAGGTACACTGAGATGCCAGCATCACGTAGGTACACAGAGGCCAGCATCACGTAGGTACACCGAGAGGCCAGCATCATGTAGGTACACTGAGAGGCCAGCATCATGTAGGTACACTGAGAGGCCAGCATCATGTAGGTACACAGAGGCCAGCATCACGTAGGTACACTGAGATGCCAGCATCACGTAGGTACACAGAGGCCAGCATCACGTAGGTACACCGAGAGGCCAGCATCATGTAGGTACACTGAGAGGCCAGCATCATGTAGGTACACTGAGAGGCCAGCATCATGTAGGTACACAGAGGCCAGCATCACGTAGGTACACTGAGATGCCAGCATCACGTAGGTACACAGAGGCCAGCATCACGTAGGTACACCGAGAGGCCAGCATCACGTAGGTACACCGAGAGGCCAGCATCACGTAGGTACACTGAGAGGCCAGCATCACGTAGGTACACTGAGAGGCCAGCATCACGTAGGTACACTGAGAGGCCAGCATCACGTAGGTACACTGAGAGGCCAGCATCACGTAGGTACACCGAGAGGCCAGCATCACGTAGGTACACCGAGAGGCCAGCATCACGTAGGTACACCGAGAGGCCAGCATCACGTAGGTACACCGAGAGGCCAGCATCACGTAGGTACACTGAGAGGCCAGCATCACGTAGGTACACCGAGAGGCCAGCATCACGTAGGTACACCGAGAGGCCAGCATCACGTAGGTACACCGAGAGGCCAGCATCATGTAGGTACACAGAGGCCAGCATCACGTAGGTACACTGAGGCCAGCATCACGTAGGTACACTGAGAGGCCAGCATCACGTAGGTACACCGAGAGGCCAGCATCACGTAGGTACACCGAGAGGCCAGCATCATGTAGGTACACAGAGGCCAGCATCACGTAGGTACACTGAGGCCAGCATCACGTAGGTACACTGAGAGGCCAGCATCACGTAGGTACACCGAGAGGCCAGCATCACGTAGGTACACCGAGAGGCCAGCATCACGTAGGTACACAGAGGCCAGCATCACGTAGGTACACCGAGAGGCCAGCATCACGTAGGTACACTGAGATGCCAGCATCACGTAGGTACACAGAGGCCAGCATCACGTAGGTACACCGAGAGGCCAGCATCACGTAGGTACACCGAGAGGCCAGCATCACGTAGGTACACCGAGAGGCCAGCATCACGTAGGTACACTGAGAGGCCAGCATCACGTAGGTACACTGAGGCCAGCATCACGTAGGTACACCGAGAGGCCAGCATCACGTAGGTACACCGAGAGGCCAGCATCACGTAGGTACACCGAGAGGCCAGCATCACGTAGGTACACCGAGAGGCCAGCATCACGTAGGTACACCGAGAGGCCAGCATCACGTAGGTACACCGAGAGGCCAGCATCACGTAGGTACACCGAGAGGCCAGCATCACGTAGGTACACCGAGAGGCCAGCATCACGTAGGTACACCGAGAGGCCAGCATCACGTAGGTACACCGAGAGGCCAGCATCACGTAGGTACACCGAGAGGCCAGCATCACGTAGGTACACTGAGAGGCCAGCATCACGTAGGTACACTGAGAGGCCAGCATCACGTAGGTACACTGAGAGGCCAGCATCACGTAGGTACACTGAGAGGCCAGCATCACGTAGGTACACTGAGAGGCCAGCATCACGTAGGTACACTGAGAGGCCAGCATCACGTAGGTACACTGAGAGGCCAGCATCACGTAGGTACACTGAGAGGCCAGCATCACGTAGGTCCACTGAGAGGCCAGCATCACGTAGGTACACTGAGAGGCCAGCATCACGTAGGTACACTGAGAGGCCAGCATCACGTAGGTACACAGAGACCAGCATCAAATAGGCACAATGAGAAGCCAGCATCATGTAGGTACGCTGAGAGGCCATCACATAGGTACACTGAGAGGCCAGCATCACACGTATACATTGAGATGTCAGCATCACATATATACACCGAGAGGCCAGCATCACATATATACACCGAGAGGCCAGCATATTTATATACTGAGAGGACAGCATCACAGACAAAGAGATCAGCGTTACACACACACACACAGCCACACACAGCCATACACACACACACACACACACACACACACAGCTGTCTCCATCACTCCTCTCGTAGCGGTTCCCAAGGCGAGCGAGTCACCTGGGGAGAAACACCTGTCTCAGGCTCCTCTGTGTTGACTGGAACCTCACTAGTGGTTGGGATCGAGTGTTCCAGGAAGCTGTCTGGAAGCTCAACGGAGACCGAAGCCTCACGGACAGAAGAAATTACTGGTAGAGCCGAGTGTGTGCTGAACACATTGGCCTCCCTCAGGTCTGGCTCACTGCGAGGCAGTCCGTGGATCATGGTCTTGTAGGTAAAGCTTGTGATTCGACGCGGCTTGACGGGGATTTGCAATGATTCCGCTTCTGCTTCTGAGTTGTTACTTGCCTGCTGAGGTTCCTTGTTTATCCGAGGTCCAGCGGGGGTCAGGGGCATTACGGTAGTGTAAGGCTCCGTTTTCGCCTGGGGCATTACTGTGGCTTTGTAGTTTGTGGTAGTTTGGGGCTCCGTACTTTTCCGAGGCTCTGGTAAAGGATCCACAGGTGTCGTCACCCTTGAGAGTCGTCGAGCCTGGGTGGGTCGCCTCCCTCTTGTGCGAGATGTGGTCTCCTTGCGGGTGAAAGTTCCAGGTGGAAGTCGATCTCTGGATTTGAGTCTAATGGTTTCCTCCTGAGTATTAGCTGCTTCCGCTATTAATGACTGCTCTGGAGAAGATGAGGCGCGATTTTGTTGTCCAAGTCGAGAATTGGAAAGTTTTCTGCTAGGTTGAGCAGCGTGAATTAAAGTTTCTTTTCGTGAGATGATGGATGAGGGTTGTGTATGGGGGCCACGAAGCTGGGACGGCCGCTTAGCCGGCCTGAATCTGGATTTTGTTTTTGCTGTGTTAGCCGTAGTTGTGTTAGATAACGGGCTAGAGGGGGTATGTAAATTAGACTTGGGTTGGAATGTGCGAGAGGCAATGAGGGACGATCTTCTCTTGGGGTAATTTGTCGTGGATTCTCGCGGAGTCTTCTCAATTTCCTTTGTGGGTGAGAGTGAAGAGGAGAGTTGACCGTCAGGGAAAGGAGGAGCAATCATCCCATCATCTATCGCGGTGGGTTCCGAAGGCTTTGATAGTTTCAACATGGAGTGAAGTCTAGTTTTAGGTGGAAAACCTTCATCCCTCTCGTCATTATTACTTAAATCAATTGCCACATCTTCTTGAGAAAAATCATTGTAGTCAGCGCCATACCAATTTTTTAATGGAAGTGTGGCAATGTTCATGGGTCTGTTTGTATGAGGTATATCAGTATTCTCTCGTTTTTGGAAGGAGCTAGAAGCCTCATTTTGCCCTGAAGGTGTTGCTAGGGAGTAGTCCTTCTTGGTGTCTGCCATCTCTTGCTGTCCCTGAAACTTCAAGTCAAGTCCCAACTTGTGTTCATTTTGTGTATCTTTTATTTTCTCAAATGTCATTAAATCGGTAATGTTTTTATTTTCATCTTTCCCCGCCTCATTATAGAAGTCCTCGACCTCCTCAGCACTGGGGAATGTGTTAGCGGGTGTTGCATATAACCTGGAGTTTATATTAAACGGGCTACTGAAAGTCTCAGAAATAATTTTGTTTGGACGGTATTCCGTTGTGATATCTTTCTCGAGTACCTTTGACTCGCTCTGCTTTGTTTCTACCCTCGTTTTCGTGTCCGCAATCATCAGTTTGTGACTTGTGATGGCTCCGCTACTTCCCTCATCCTCCCTCTCCGGCAAGGGATCCGTTGGAGGTGTCCTTACCGTCACCACACCTACCTCAAACTCGCTTCCTCCCTCAGTTCTTGCTTCATATGCGTTAGACTTATCAGAGGCCGGATTCCTCTCTTCCTTTCTTGGTTCATATAGTAGAAGGCCCATGTATTCTTTCTCGGGAAGACTGCTGTAAAGCGACTCCTGTATATGTGTCTTAGTAATCTCAGTACTTGGGTTTTGCCTTTGACTTGGCCTGAACGGCGGAGGTGACCAGACTATTTTCCTCTGTGGCTTCTGAGCATCAGCATCTGATGTGGAAACATTATCATCCTCATCAGCCTCTCTAGGGTCATTACCTAACTCTCTATCATCGGGTTGAAAAGCATCTGTGGTGTCGAGTTGTATTGTGGCTGCAGTGAACGTGTGTTGCAGGTCTTCTGGGAGGGGATTAGTTTGCTCCCTAAGTCGGTGTTGCGGATATTCTGGTTGGAAAGTAGCTTGTTCCGTGACTTTGTGTTGCAGGTGTTCGGGAAGGGGGGTAGTTTTCTTAAGCCTGTGTTGTGGGTGTTCTGGTAGGAAAGCAGTTTGCTCCGTGGTGGGACTCAAAGTAGCAAGTGTCGTAGCAGGTGTTGTCGTCAGTTCTTCAAGTAACACACCATAATCTTCAGAACTCTTTAGTTCATCATCAGTTTCGTAATGCAAATCAGTTTCAGTTACGTTTTCTTTGGTTTCTTTCGACATCTGATCGAAATAGAAATTCTGTTTATCACTTGGTGCAGATACCTTGCTACTGTTGTAATAAGGTTTTGATGTATCCGAGTCAACATTCGTATATTGTCGAGAGTTCGTGTACTGGACGACTGGTATGGGTGTCTTGAAGGTATCTGACTGGTCGAAACTTAACACCTCGATTTTTATGCTTGGGAGAGTTCTCGAAACCCTTGTGAATCTTCGTTTTCACTATTTTCTGCATTACTGGACGGCGTTGTGGATTGGGAAACTAAGTTTTCTCTCCAAGGAATATAAAACACAGGTCGGCCTCTTTTCTGCCTTACGGTTGTTGGTACTTCGGTAATGCTTGTTGAAGTGGAGGTCTCTGGTTGCTCTGGCGGTGCTGTAGTGGAGTCCTCGAAGTGCGTTGTTGCTTGCCTTGGAAGTGCTGTAGTGGAGTACTCGTAGGGTAATGTAGTCTCTGTGTATGGAAGAGAGCGCCTGTTTTTCTTCGAGTGCAACTTTTCTTCTGAACCAAAATACTCCCTCATCGCGTCGTATTTTGCTTGAACGTATACGTCGTGTCCAGGGATCAGCTCAGAGGGATCCAGCGGCGTCAGGATAAACTCGTGAATGTCGTGTTTAGCCGGGTTCAACTTAGGCGTTGCGAACTCGTACGAAGCCGGAGTAGTTCTGGTGAACTCTACGTTGGGTCTTGGTGTGGGGATCTTGTTGGCTCCTGGCCTCTTGGTGACGTGATGTGTAGGCTGTCTGCTTGTTCTCGTGTAGACATTGTAAGCTGGAGAAGTGGCTCTGAATTGACTCGTTGGCTTCGTAGAGATATAAGTTTTTTTCTGCTCACTCCGTGTGCTTGGATAGACTGGTGTTGTCTGATGATCGAGATTCTTCGTAGAAAAATATTCGGATATTCTTGTTGACAAGGATTGAATAGTTTCATCCATTGTTTCTGAAGTCCAGCCCCAGTTCGGGGTGGTGAGAGTGGTCTTTTTTTTCTTAGTGTACGGATAAGCAGTTTCTATCCTAGTTATTGGTCTCCACGGAGTGTAGCTGTTAGACAATCTTCCAAGAGCTGGGTCAGTTGTAGGTGTGGTTTCCGGGTTTCTCGTCGGGAAGCGAGATGTGGAAAATAGTTTTGATATTGGCAATAAATCTGAGTAATCCCGGAAAGGATGAGGCGATGTTCTTACATCATTAGCCTCTGTGAAATGCCAGTAAGAGATACCAGTTTGTTGCGTTGTGCTGTGGAAGTCCTGTGGAGCTGGTGTGGTGAGGTAAGACTTGACTTCTCCTTGCTCGATCTCGTCCAAAAGATCGCTCCCAATACCCTGCCTATATGCAGGCACGCTATCGCTAGCTTCCAGAACACTAATGTTATTACTGAGCGGATCTAGCGCAAAAGACGAGCTTTCACCCCACAGTGGAGGCTCTTCATGACGATAATTTTCGTGTACCTGGGGAGAAATACTCGTTGTCGATATCTGAAGACCTTGGTCCAACAGTGCAGGGTCCTCGTAACGATGGTTTTCATGTACCTGATGGGGAATGGTTTCTGTCGACAGCTGAAGCCCTCCATCCCAAGGATCGGAGTAGCCCTTCCCGTAGATAATCTCTGAAGTGATGAAGGACGGAGAGGTCACTGCTACAGAGACCGGTCTATAAGATTTGTTTGGGTATCCAAGAACGCTCTCGTAAGTCTCCGATTTGAATGCTGGCTTGTTGATGATACCACGGGTGTCTTGAACTTCACTGACGCTGGGGACCCGGTGATAGCGCCTCTCAGGAGACACCTGGGGAACTGCGGGCTTCCCGCCGATGAGATTCGGAGCCCTGGGAGCACAGATGACCTTAGGACAGCAGTCTGGATGACGCTTATGTGGACGGTGTTTGATGACGCAGGTCGAGGGTCGCTTCTCCGGCAGGGCGTCGCAGCTGTAAAGATAAATGAACGAAGAAATGACTCAGTGCGTTAGCACACCGTGTGGATGTAGATTATATAATGCCGACAGACATATTTATAAAAACACAACAGGCAAAAGTGCTGTCTTTACATTTACATAAGGCATCAAAGGGAAATTAAGTCTACTGGAAAGAAATACTCAAGTTTAGCCTGATGCTGAGAGGATTAATTTTATATTGATAAGGAGGCGCTAAACTCGCAAGGGAGGTCATAAAGAGCCTTAGGGATGGGAAGTAATCAAGTTTAAACCGTAAAAGATGAAGATAGTTTTAATTCTTAAAATTAAGAGACCTTGGCCATTTTTTTTTAGTCAATGCGCAGGGATGTACAAGCAGATTTATACGCGAGTAGTCAAGCGAGTGACCGGGTGAGTGAAGTCGCTGTGTGCGGGTGAACTGCGAGATGGAAGCACTGCAGGAGGCCTACATCTCCGTGCACTGAAAAAACAACTGTCCACAGCTAAAAAGTCTCAATGGAATTTCTTTCTCCAACTGTATATTTCAGCAACACTCACAACTGCTCCTCCAGAATGGGTCGTCCAGCGAAGATCTTACAGACGATGCGACGACACCCAGGCAGGTAGACACGCTGGCCCAGGTCCATCACACCAGCCGGGTGCCAGCAACCCACCCCTAGGGGACACAACACCAAGACGACATTTCAGTAATGGCATTCAGAGGAGACAGAAATGCAGTGAAATGAGATCCTCTATTGACAACGCTTGTATAAAGCATTTAATTGTTTAGTTCACAGTCAGAGAATTAAGAACGTCAAGACTTCTTCTACTATTACTACTACTACTGCTACTACTACTACTAATTTTGCCTCGCTTCACTACCCTTAATGCCTTGTGCCACTACCACTACTCTCCCGGCCTACTACTACCACTACTTACAACTACCACTACCTACTACTACCGCTACTGTTTCTAGGACTGCTTCCACTATCACACTCAGAGATACCCGGATAGCCATATATTTTTAGAGAGCGCAGCTGGGTATTTAATATGAGGACTAAAACATATGCAACACCTGAGTATCTTTACTCTAGAGACACTCAGGTGTTGTACATATGTCTAATTCGACTTTAGGGAAAGAGATTAACCACAGGGAGATAGGGAGAATAAGAGGGAAGAGGAAAATATAGAAAAAGTCTCATAACAATAAAAATGCTTTCAAATGAGCTGATGTAGGTAACAGCTCTTAGCTTGCCAATAAAGTTAGGAATCCTTAACCTGTAAATAGCTGTCAATAAAGCTAGGGATCCTTAACCTTGTCAAACCCTGTGTAAAAAAAAAAAAAAAAAAAGGGGAAAGTTAGGAAAAGGGTAAAAGAAAGGGTAGGAACCTGAAAATAGAAAACGGGAGCCTGGAAAAGGGTAAGAGGTGAAACTATAAAAGAAATCCAGAATAAAAATGAACATTTTAATTGCATTGAATTATGAATATTTATTCATTAATACAATAAAGTTGATAATTATTACCTATAATTATACTTTGTATTTAATTATTATTTATTAATAACTAAAAAATGGAATAAAAAGCCACAATACCGTGACTGGAACACAGGAGAATGAAACTTCTGACCGTAAGTCATGAGATTTAGTCTCTTGTGCTGGTAACGTGGGAGGCATCGATACCATGCCTAACCCTTCTAGGGTAGGGTAGGGTAGGTGCCTGAGCCCGAGCCTTTAGCTCATAAGACTGTCATTCCCATTAGCCCCCTTGGGGCGGGGATGGCAGACCAGAGAGGCCTAGCTTGTGGCTAGGCCTGGGGACAGTTGGTCCCAAAGATGAGGAGGTACTTGTGCCTCCTCCCATGGGAGACTTAGGTCTCAGACACTCCCTAAAGAGGGAGCCAAGGCCGGGCCACCACTTGGAAAAGGCCCGGGCCGGGAGAATACCGGCTAATCTTTAATAATAATAATAATAAATAAACGTGGGAGGTAACGGGAGAGATAATGCGGGAGGAGGTATCTCGGGGGGTAACGCGGGAGGGGGTAACGAGGGAGGAGGTAACGAGGGAGGAGGTAACGAGGGAGGAGGTAACGAGGGAGGAGGTAACGAGGGAGGAGGTAACGAGGGAGGAGGTAACGAGGGAGGAGGTAACGAGGGACGAGGTAACGAGGGAGGAGGTAACACATAGTGTCGTGGCTATATTCGTAAGGAATCAGAGGGTCTGCGGTCACTGTAGTATATAGGTGAGCGTTTTATCAGCGACGGGTTTATAATGCTGTAGGATCAATAACGATGTTTTAGCACTGGTTTATACTTCGAATGAAGTTCTGAATACGAGAAATATATTATAAATAAGGTTATTGCCCATATATGTATTGACAACAGTGTATATACTCTTATTTTAGGTAATATCATATATACTCTTATTTTAGGTAATAATATCATATATACTATTATTTTAGGTAATAATAATACCTTATATACCCTTATTTCGGGTAATAATAATACCATATATACTCTTATTTTAGGTAATAATACCTTATATACCCTTATTTTAGGTAATAATAATAAATAGTAATAATACTAACGATAATAATAATAAATAGTAATAATAATACTAACGATAATAATAATGAAGGTAACGCCCAGGTGATATGCAGCCTTAATAACCCTCGTGCTGTCGATGGATTTTAGACCTAATAAACGAACCATACTGAGACAGAACCACGCCCCTGGGTTCACAGTTCACTGCCAGCATACAGCAGTGACTGTTTCGCTGTGAACCCGGGTAAAAAGTAGAGTAAGAGGTCGGTGGTTCTCTCTGTTTCACTCAAATTGCTGTGAATGACATACATTTTCAGATCGCTGATTTGTATATCCAGGTGACATACAAATCAAAGATAAAATAAGGGAATGAAGACACTGGAAGAAGAAAATCCCGTTAATACGACGTTTCGCCCACCAAAGTATTGCACAAATATCTAATTCAACCTGTCGGTTCACTGAACCATTTATCAACAAAGCCTTCAGTTAAAACGTTGTGCTAAAAGGATTCTCCAACAGAAGTGTCTATTCCCACCTGTGGGCTTGTTCCTTGAGGCGACCCGTGGCTTGATTGGTAGCGCACTCGCTCACTGAGGTTCGTGGCCCGATCCTCGGTACGGGTGGGAACATTAGGACGTGTTTCCTTAAAGACACCTGCTGTCCATATTCACCTAGCAGTAAAATAGGTACCTGGGTGTTAGTCGTCTGGTGTGGGTCGCATCCTGGAGGACAAAATTGACCTAATTTGCCAGAAATGCTCTGCATAACAAGGGACTTTCTGTATAGTAGTATATCATTGATGTCAGCTATGGTCTGTATAAGTTGTACCATGTACTTGTAGAAATAAAGATTATTATTATTATTGTTATTATTATTACCACATAGATACATCGGCATATGTAACAGTTCATCCCGGATATTGAACCAGTGATAACTGTCTTGTAACCAGTGGTTGATCTCTAACCCTTGGCTAACAGATTAACTTCAGTTACGCTTAAGTTAGCATACCAATAAATTTATTCCATATGGAGGGATATTTTGTAGGTCACATATCCACCGGGAGGCCTGGTCGTGGACCGGGCCGCGGGGGGCGTTGACCCCCGGAATGCCCTCCAGGTAAACTCCAGGTATACTGTTCAATTGTGAATGCACTTATAATTAAATTTGCAGAAACAAATCACACAAGAGGAGCTTCACACAAATCATATATACAATTTCTCCGAATTATCATAATCAAGGGGAAGCGCTAAACCCGTAGGATTATACAGCTCCTGGGGGGGGGATGTGGAAGGCATTCAGGCTTAATTCGGGGAACTGGAGCACAGATCCAATTCCCTAAATCAAGAGCCCCTCACCAACAATTTCTCCGAAAGAAAAAATCTGCTTAATATATGAACATGACGATGGGTCACTAAGGTTGAATATTCTTTGTACATGTCCTTAAAGGTGCCTTAATAATGGTAAAGGGCTCTTGATGAGAGGTATGAGAGGTACTCTCCTCCTTTGCAAGGGTCGCGCCTGATTATCTACCATATCCCTACGAATTTAGCGCTTTTCATTAAAAAAATAAGTTAACTGTACACCAAAGATTAATATTTAAAATAATAATAATAATAATAATAATAATAATAATAATAATAATAATAATAAATAATAATAATAATACAAATAAATTATTACATACATCAGAATATTATTTTATTACCTACGTTATTATTATGTACATTATTACTATTATAATTATTAGTGACAGAAAAACGCTAAACCTAAAAGGGTCATCCAACCCTTCAGTTCAAAGGGCGCTTCAGTCTGCGTGGATATAGGCAATAATAAATCTCATATATATTACGTGTTCGTGCGTTCACACTCTAATAACTAGCGTGGTAAGAGGGCGTGGAGTTGAGCCTTCACACGGCTTTCCTTACAAACAGAAAGCATGAAGGAGAGAGCACACTTATTCTGTGGGTTAACACTCTCATAATCTTCAATTAGGCAATTAACTTCCGTACGAGAAATAATGTTGTTACGGTTTGTCGCCGCTGTTGTGTGTGTACTCACCTAGTTGTACTCACCTAGTTGAGGTTGCGGGGGTCGAGTCCGAGCTCCTGGCCCCGCCTCTTCACTGATCGCTACTAGGTCACTCTCCCTGAGCCGTGAGCTTTATCATACCTCTGCTTAAAGCTATGTATGGATCCTGCCTCCACTACATCACTTCCCAAACTATTCCACTTACTGACTACTCTGTGGCTGAAGAAATACTTCCTAACATCCCTGTGATTCATCTGTGTCTTCAGCTTCCAACTGTGTCCCCTTGTTACTGTGTCCAATCTCTGGAACATCCTGTCTTTGTCCACCTTGTCAATTCCTCTCAGTATTTTGTACGTCGTTATCATGTCCCCCTATCTCTCCTGTCCTCCAGTGTCGTCAGGTTGATTTCCCTTAACCTCTCCTCGTAGGACATACCTCTTAGCTCTGGGACTAGTCTTGTTGCAAACCTTTGCACTTTCTCTAGTTTCTTTACGTGCTTGGCTAGGTGTGGGTTCCAAACTGGTGCCGCATACTCCAATATGGGCCTAACGTACACAGTGTACAGGGTCCTGAATGATTCCTTATTAAGATGTCGGAATGCTGTTCTGAGGTTTGCTAGGCGCCCATATGCTGCAGCAGTTATTTGGTTGATGTGCGCTTCAGGAGATGTGCCTGGTGTTATACTCACCCCAAGATCTTTTTCCTTGAGTGGGTTTGTATTCTGGCCCCCTAGACCTATCGCGCGTTTTTTTGGGCCTTCCCCAATCTTCATGATTTGCACTTGGTGGGATTGAACTCCGGAGCCAATTGCTGACCAGGTCTGCAGCCTGTCCAGATCCCTTTGGTTTCCTGGTGCTTCGATCGATGAATTCTTCATCAACTTTAACTCTGGCAAACAGTGACACCTCAGAGTCTATCCTTCCGTCATGTGTTCACAATACCAAAAGCACTGGTCCTAGGACTGCACCTTTGGGCACCGCGGGTCACAGGGTCCCACTCTACACCCGTCGCCACGTACCATGACTCGCTGCTGTCTTCCTGTCAGTATCCCTGATCCATTTTAGTGGCGGTGTTGTCCCTGTTATCCCTGTCCTCTTTTTGCCAATCTTTTGAACTGTGTCAAACGCCTTCTGTCAGTCCAAGAAAATGCACCACCCACCCCCCTCTCTTTTGTGTGTTGTGTGTGTGTGTTGTGTGTGTGTGTGTGTGTGTGTTTTGTGTGTGTGTGTGTGTGTGTGTGTGTGGGTGTAACGTGGAAACAGACTCAGTACACATCTTTACGATCAGGTAGTAAATGGCTTATGATGCCAGGAATAATGTCACCGTTTGTGAGTAATATAATAATAATATCTCTATTTACTACCAGTACATGTACAAGGTATACAGACCATAGCTGACATCAGTGACATACTACTATATAGAAAGCCGCTTGTTATGCTGAGCATTTCCCGCAAATTAGGTCAGTTTTGTCCCAGGATGCGACCCACACCAGTCCACTAACACCCAGGTACCCTTTTTACTGATGGGTGGAAGACAGGGTCAGTAGCAGAAACTATCTTAGTAACCACAAATAAGTTAATACACCTGGGTAGTCACAACTTCTTATGCCTCCACCTTATTTCTCTCTCTCTCTCTCTCGCTCTCTCTGCTTTTACTATCATCATAACAGACATTTCAAGGGAAATATATGAACACGTCCACAGCCAGACTGGAGAAAGCTGGTGTTCCCTCCAGCGTTACTTATATTCCTAGCCCACCATCCTCCCACCATATCTTGCTAGCTCACCATCCCCCCACCACATTTCAAGCCCCCCATCCCCCCACCTATCTTGCTAACCCACCATCCTCCCACCATCATTTGCACCCACCATCCCCCACCATCACTTGGCTACTCACCTCCCTACCATCATTTTGCAGCCCACCCATCCCCCCCATCACTTGCTACCCACCTTTTCCCCCATCATTTTGCTAGCCCATCCACCCACATCATTGCTACCCCACATCCTCCCACAATCATCTTGCACCCACCATCTCCCACTTCAGCTCACCATCCTCCCTTACATCATCTTGCTAGCCACTCTCACCATCATCATCTTGTTAGCCCACCATCATCTGCTATGCTCCACCATCCTCTCCCCATCTTGCTAGCTCACTCATCCTCCCACCATACATCTGCTAAGCCCACCATTATTCACAACATCTTGCTAAGCCCACACAATAATTTCCCCATCATCATTGCTAGCCCACCATCCTCCCACCATCATCTTGCTAGCCTCACCATCCTCCCACATCATCTTGCTAGCCACCATCCTCCCACCATCATCTTGCTAGCCCCCATCCTCCACCATCATTCTGCTAGCCCCATCCTCCCACCATCATCTTGCTAGCCCACCATCCTCCCCCCATCATCTTGCTGAGCCCATCCATCCTTCCCACCATCATCTTGCTAGCCCACCATCTCTCACCATCACTGCTGCCCACCATTATTCCACCATCATCTTGCTAGCCCACCATTATTCCACCATCATCTTGCTAGCCCACCATTATTCCACCATCATCTTGCTAGCCCACCATTATTCCACCATCATCTTGCTAGCCCACCATTATTCCACCATCATCTTGCTAGCCCACCATCCTCCCACCATCATCTTGCTAGCCCACCATCCTCCCACCATCATCTTGCTAGCCCACCATCCTCCACCATCTTGCTAGCCCACCGTCCTCCCACCATCATCTTGCTAGCCCACCATCCTCCCACCATCATCTTGCTAGCCCACCATCATCTTGCTAGCCCACCATCCTCCCACAATCATCTTGCTAGCCCACCATCCTCTCCACCATCATCTTGCTAGCCCACCATCCTCCCACCATCTTGCTAGCCCACCATCCTCCCATCATCATCTTGCTAGCCCACCATCCTCCCACCATCATCTTGCTAGCCCACCATCCTCCCACCATCTTGCTAGCCCACCATCCTCCCACCATCATCTTGCTAGCCCACCATCCTCCCACCATCATCTTGCTAGCCCACCATCATCTTGCTAGCCCACCATCCTCCCACAATCATCTTGCTAGCCCACCATCTTCCACCATCATCTTGCTAGCCCACCATCCTCCCACCATCTTGCTAGCCCACCATCCTCCCACCATCTTGCTAGCCCACCATCCTCCCACCATCATCTTGCTAGCTCACCATCCTCCCACCATCATCTTGCTAGCCCACCATCCTCCCACCATCATCTTGCTAGCTCACCATCCTCCCACCATCATCTTGCTAGCCCACCATCCTTCCACCATCATCTTGCTAGCCCACCATCCTCCCACCATCATCTTGCTAGCCCACCATCCTCCCATCATCATCTTGCTAGCCCACCATCCTCCCACCATCATCTTGCTAGCCCACCACAGCAGCAGCTGAGAGTCGCAGCAGCAGCAGCTGAGAGCCACAGCAGCAGCTGTGATCAGCTCGTGTGGAAGTGCTGAAGCGTTAACTGTCTCTCAAGGGCAAGAAACCGGGGAAAGTTATCACATTCATGTAATTTCCCTGAAGCACCTAACGTCTCTCCCACCTACTTACACACGTGAGACAATTTACACAGCTTCACACGAGCCTTTAACCTGCACTGACCTCCAGATGAATGCAGAATTACAGGATTATGTAGTTGAAAAGATTTATTGTTAAAGAAGAGAAAAGACACTTGCAGTTCAGACCGAGATCTAACTACGCAGATCAACTATTATCCAGTTTTTGTTTACATTTGGATATCCTGTAACTACTGACAAGTGTTCAGGGCACTCTGACGCTCAATCTCTCTCTCTCTCTCTCTCTCTCTCTCACACACAAATATATATAGGCATAGTATTACTGAGTTCACCTGCAGTCCTTCTCCTGGGTGCCGCTGGAATCCATCTAGTGCCAGCCTCGATCCCTGGCACCACCATCACCACCACCACCATCACCATCACCACCGTCTTCATGCTGAGAAGCTGGCTCCTCCACACCACCTGGATCACTCTGTCGATGTTGACCTTCTGCAGTAGGACCTCTCTGGAGCGTGAGGTAGCAGCAGTATTACACTTAGTCTTGTAACAGATCCTTCACAGTTTCAATTGTTGGGGGTCGTGCCTGTACCCCGCCGGTAGTAGAAATATATCCTCACTTAGGGAACATTAAAGTAACAGGTTTTCAAGCAGAGGCTACGTAGATATACGTCAAGTATCATTACACGTCAGGTTTCTACATATCAATAACAATGAGAACTAATTTCTGTAAGTAGAAGTCACAACTATTGTTAATCTGATGCAACACTGTCAAGTGGCAATTAGTAGCGCTAATCCGTCTGTAAGTAGCAAGAATGTCGCTTTTTTCAGGCAGCAATAAAGCTCCAGTCTTTCAGGCAGCATTTACTTCCTGCTTCTTCAGGCAGCTCTAACGTTCCACTTTTCCCAGTCAGGATAAGCAACACTTTTTTTTTTCAAGTAGGTATAACATCTAGCAAATTTCCGAAAGCATAAACGAGACAGGTTTTATTTTCTGAGCAGCACACTAGTCACACTAAGAAATATTACCCTCACACTGTGATAAATAAGAGTGTCAAGCTTGACAAGACAGCTGCATCACGTGACTACCTCTTGAAGTTCTCCATACACACTTCACGTAGGAGAAAATGTTACACTTTTTCACGAAAGTGGAAAGAGAGAGGCACTTCCGTTACCGGCAATATGCCACACGTGCGGTCGTCACGCTGATATAACTTCTTTTCCACAACTGCTATCACACACCTGTTCTTCCAACACTGATTGCAAATCGTTCATGCTACGCAACTGTCTTTCTAACACAGTGTATAGCGCCTCTGTGGTGTTCTCTTGGCTCTACCTACGCATTCGGTGTTCTGAAACTGGCCACACACACAACACACGTGTTTGAAAGCTTAACACTTAGTTTCTGTGAAGCCTTGACCCCCACACACCTGATCATAAGTGTAGAGGAAGGCAAGGAGTAAGCCACATGTTTACTCCCCCACACAGTCTTATCGTTGGTCGGAAAGTGAGAAAAACTCACTCGACTTTAAGACTTTTTTTCCTTGATGGTACGAGATGTGTTGTTTTATCGCCTGTTAGTGGTCTCGCTAGTGCGTGAAGTAATGTGGTCTCGCTGGTCTGAGGGGTTCTGTGGTCTCACTTGTTGGTCTCTGGAGTTCAGTGGTCTGGATGCCGGCAGCTGATTTGTTTATCTAAGTGAAAAAAAAACCGAATGTAAATTTATTGTAGTGTTTTTTTTTGTATATTTAGGGGTTATAAAATGCAATTTCATCGGTCTTTACCATTCCGTCGGCAATCAATGAGCACATTTAGTTTGCGTGTCTCTTTCACAGAGGACGTAGGATCGAGCCTCCATAAATTCTCGCGTTGAATGACCCACAAGTATTTAAGAATTTTATCTCGTCTACGTTAAGACAATCTCAAAAAAATGTCCCGAATATTCGTGTTGTTTTGATCTACTCAACTAAGCTTTGAATTTTCTTAGTGATATTTTTGTTTTCACTGGCATCCTGTAGGACAACTTTTGTGTCAGATTCTGTTTCTGAAAACGGGAGACTTTGTCCTTCAGTGAGTTTCCTCCTCAGATGGCTACGTGTACCTCCAGCAACGACTGCACGTAACAGCAGCAGCAGCAGCACTGGCACCGACAGCAGCAGCAGCAGCACTGGCACCGACAGCAGCAGCAGCAGCAGTGACACCTTCCCACCACTACGATTTCTCCGTCTCCCCTGATGGAGACCATGATCCCAGCTTTTTCCCCGAGTGCTGACGACCGTGGTTCACTGCTTGCACTACGAAGCACTGATACCGCCCCTCATCCTCCACGTTTTCTTCCTTCTCGTTCTCCTCTCCATCCTCATAATTCATCATCCTCTCCTTCACTAAATTTTAATTATGTTTTTAATTCTATTCCCCTTTTGCATTTGATCCTCCGCCTTTCCTAGTATTGAATAACTCACACGAGTTATCGTTTTCATAATAATAATAATAATAATAATAATAATAATAATAACAATAATAAAATGTATACGTGTTGTCTTGCATAGTGTGTGTTGTACAGTGTGTGTTGTACATTGTACAGTGTGTGTTGTATAGTGTGTGTGTTGTATAGTGTGTGTTGTACAGTGTGTGTTGCACAGTGTGTTGTATAGTGTGTGTTGTTCAGCGTGATTGTTCAGGCGTGAGTGTTGTTCAGTGTGAGTGTTGTTCAGTGTGAGTGTTGTTCAGTGTGAGTGTTGTTCAGTGTGAGTGTTGTTCAGTGTGAGTGTTGTTCAGTATGAGTGTTGTTCAGTATGAGTGTTGTTCAGTGTGAGTGTTGTTCAGTGTGAGTGTTGTTCAGTGTGAGTGTTGTTCAGTGTGAGTGTTGTTCAGTGTGAGTGTTGTTCAGTATGAGTGTTGTTCAGTATGAGTGTTGTTCAGTGTGAACATCACACGAGGGTCAATAGAAACTCAAGCTCCTTAAACTAACTTGTGACCAAAACTTTCAACTTTGCTCTCAAAAAAAACTTTGCGTTGGTCTCAATGGATTGTGAGCTTCGTGGCCAGTCAGTCATGACTTATATGACAATACAGTTCTTTTATGTTTGGTGTAAAAATAATTAATGGTTTTATTCAGTCATGACAATTCTGTGGATTTATTAAAATGCAATGTTGAAATGACAAGCAAATCGAGTCTGCCATTTTGATCAGATCTGTGTGTGTGTGTGTGTGTGTGCGTGTGTGTGCGTGTGCGTGTGCGTGTGCGTGTGTGTGCGTGTGTGTGTGTGTAATATAAATTTTAGAATGATAGGATATAGGATCTATTTCCTAAGCAGAGTGAGACTGTCATTTTTCCATTTTCACCCACCAATAAAAATGTATTTTTTAATGTTAGTCGACTGTCATGAGTGGCATCTTGGCAGGGCGAAACGTATGGAAAGTCTCCTTCGGTCCTCTGATCATATAGCCGTAAGTAGATACCTGGGTTCTGGGCGATAGTCGTAGAGATAAAGTTTAAATGTAAATTCAGATAATGATACTAACGTGAACCATGATCAGCAGTGATCTGTTTCTGTGTTGGTGAAAGTCTAGTGATCCAGGAAGCAAAAAAAAAAAAAAACGCAGATCAAACCTGATGTCCTCTCATTCCTTAAGTGCTGTAAGATACTCGTAGGTTTGAAGGTTTGAAGCTTCTCCATGACTCATCTAATAAAAACACTGATCGTAAAACCGCAAACAGGTCGTCTCACACAGGTGACACAACTGGTCATCCTACACAGGTGACATCTTCCTCCTCCATCCGCAGTCACGCATCCTTCACAACATAGTCGTCAGCCTCCAGGCAAGCTAGAGGTAGCATCTCTTAAACACTTCTAACTTGCAGATTGACTTCGAAGCTCTCACGAATCAAGCAATTTGCGCTGCCGTGCGACACTACTGAAGCGGGTAACTGGCAGCCTCAACGACGTATTCTCAGAGCGACATACAAGTCTATTTCACAACAAAATGAGAACCGTTTTATCATTACTACTACTAATAATAATAATCGATCGTGAAAATTAGTATAAATTGGTCCATTTGATTCCAACAGTTAATGCACGGCTAGGAACTAAGACTGAACCGTACAAGTTTGTACTGACTTAGGAAAAATAACACTACTGGAACAGTCATCAGTAGGACAAGATGCCTCCTCTAGGTAACCTGCCTCAGTCCTGAAAAACTAGAGACCAGGAAGATGCGTGCGAGTGGATCAGTAACATGGACTTAGGCGCTACCAGGTGGCGAAGTGAACGTTGACTTTATTTAACTAACGAAAGTGACTCCGGGGAAAGGGAATGAAAGGCATCAGATAAACGAGTTTAATGTTTTGTGAAATTGCTTCGGTCTTCGAGTCACGTTTTTTGCCTAGTTCTCGTCGTATTTTGACCAGTCTTTGAGGTCTGTTCGCTAGTGTAAATAGTATTTTGAATAGTACTTATGTTTTTTTTAATATTTATTTAGCATTCTGGTGATTCATTGTGCTCTTTTGAACAGGACAAATATTTCCTAACAGGGGTTTTATTCATATGACGACCCACAGCTGGAGCTTTTGCTCATCTGACTGAAGCCTTCCACTGGCTTATCTTCGCTGTTTTAACTAATAAGCGTGGTTTTTAGAGCAAACATTTAAGAGGTCCTGTTTTAAAGAATATATCACCCCTATAATTGGTGAACCACTGTCAACTTCCTAATTATAGAGCATTTATAATTGTCCTGCCATAAGGAAGAAGTATAATTATTCTGTCATAGGAATCCCTCAATTATAGGGGTTAGAGGAAGTACAGTTGTGTCATTTAAAAG